GCATTATATCGAATTTTCTCGTGGGAGTAAGATATTTTCTCGCAGTAAAATGTAGCCTATGTCCATCTCCAACATGTAAGCTATCTCTGTGCCAAATTTTATTAAAACCTGTTCAGTGGTTTAGATGTGAAAAGGTAACAGACAGAATTACCTTTGAATTTATAATATTAGTGTGGATTAATATGAATTTCTGCTATAAGGGGTACGCTAGTTTGAGCTCTTTCTTGAAGTGGTACGCAGGAAAAACTAATTGGGAACCACTGCTATAGTAAATAATTCTCTATAGAAAATAACATGGATGTTTGAATATCTTAGGCATTTGTCAGTAACCATCTTACTCTCTATAAAGTTTGATTTAAGTTTGTGTGCGCACGTGCATGCTTGCATTGTGCAATTGATATTATATATGTATAAATTGACTAAATTTTGAAAAAATTAAATACATTACAATTGAGTTTAAAACATTTTTTAATTTAAGCATATATAGTATGACTTACAGAAAAATTATTCTTAATTTTTATAATTTATGAAAGAATTTTTAAAGGCTATTTTAATTTCACTCCTGTTATAAACTATTTAATATATTTTTATTTTAATTACATAATCTTAAATTGCATTAATATTTTACTTTAAAAATGGAATATTTTCAGTTTTCAGATGACAAAACATTAAATCTTGAAAAAATAAAATCAGAAAATTCTAATTCAAAAGCTTCAGGATCTTCAGAAGTAATTTCTTTACCTCCTTCAGTACCACCTTATACTTCCAGTTCATCAGCATTCACTTCACCACCACCATCAATACCTCCATATAGTCCTAATTCTACAGATTTCTCATATGGTTACAATTACAGTAGTTCATTAATAAGACAAGAAACAGGTAAAAATATATTTAGTTTGTTTTATATTAAAATTGTATTTTAAATTTATAGTTTAATATGTATGAAATAATTACATGATGAGACAAAATGAATTGTTTTCATAATTGATTCCGACAACTGATTATTTATAAATTTAATAATGCAACAATAATGCAAGGAACTCATTACCATAATCAGAAGGCTCCATACATTAGCAATTAAGAAAAAAGAAAAATTATATATATAGTTTAAATTATATATAATTTGTTTATTAAGCATTGTTTATCAGTGCTTTGAATTCATGGAGTAGTTCAGAATAAAAATGCTTTTTTATATAAATCAAACTCCTGATTATCTGTTTTGTAGATTATCCACATTTCATCAAAATATTAGCATTACCATAAAATGACAAAGTATCATAAGCAACATTCAGCTTTTCAATTTTCTCTCGACTGTCAATTCTAAGGGATGAAGGTGAGGCAAATCATTAGACCTGGAATATTATTTTTCAGTAAGCAAAGTTAATGCTATAAACAGCACATTTGAAAAATATATCCTACCAGTTTTAAAATTAAAATACAGTAACTTCAAAATACAGTAGTACCTTGGTTTTCGTTGACTTCAGTTATTGTCGATTTTTTCTGCAAAAAATTCGTCTTGGTTTTTGTTGGTTGCTTTGGATTTCATTGGTGTGTGCACATGATTTCACTGCTAATTTTGTGAAAACAAAGGGCGATCCACACATTTTCCTGTTCAGTGTGGTGGTTGTTTCTCATTGAGTGAGCATTACCCCAATCATCAAGTCAAACAATTCCATTGCTTTCCTTTCCTTTTACCTCCATCATGAAACCAAAGAAAGTTTCCAGAGCCAGCAGTCTTTCGAAGAAAAACACCAGGAACATGCTCAAGTTGAAGGAAATTGTTGAAAAATACAAAAGCGGCATTAAAATTGCTGAAATCGGCCGCGTATACAGTATGGGAAGTTGCCATCCGTGATAAGTTCTATTGTGACAAAAAAGGAAGCAATAAAGGAGGTTAATGTAGCGAAAGGTGTGAGTGTGCTAACAAAACAGAGATCACAAACAATTGAAGATGTTGAACAATTTACTCCATATTTACTCGTGTTTAAGATGATCTTGCATATAGGACCAGGTGTGACTTTAAAGATCAAAATAAAGAAAATTAGATTTATTAATACAGCTCTAATTTTATTTCATCTAATCACAAATAAAATATCAAATATACGTAAATACACACATTATTGTGCAAAAATTACTGGCATTTTAATCTTTAAGGAAAAATCTTGTAAAATCAACAACATAATTTGTTCATGTAATCTGGAACCTTTTTTTGTCAATTTTTAACAGTTGAATCCACACTTATGAGTTTCTCTGAATTCTGATTTCCAAATAATAATCTGTTTTCACATGGAAATGGATTAAAACTTATATTGGGCTCCCGTGTTATTTTGGAATTCAATTCAAAAGCTTTGCTTTTTCTATTGCTATTCATATTTACTCCTGCAATACACAAGAATGATTCAAATGACACAGATAAAATACTTTTGTTTTTAAACACCAGAGGGTGAGCACCTGGTAAAAAAATGCAAATACTCTGTTTATAAAAATTTTTGCAAAAACCTAAAGAATCCTTCGCTCGCACATATAGGATGACCTAGGTATTTGAAGCAGTGAAAAATGAAGAAAAACCTCATCTTATATGCGAGTAAATACAGTAATTTGGATCACTCAAAAACAGTTATACGGTCATCTGTTTCAAAGGCCATTGTATTAGTCTTTTATATTCATTTTATATTAATTTATTATTGTTCTTAGTATTAAATGCATTTATTCTCTATAAAATGTGTTTTTGGTACATATTTTGGAATGTCTAGAACAAATTAATTGGATTTACATTGATTCATATGGAAATAATTGCCTCTGTTTTTATCGGTTTCGGATTTTGTCAATTGTTTTTGGATGAATTATTGACGAAAACCGAGATATCACTGTAATGTAAGAAATTAAAATTAAAATTTTTGTGATTATTTTTGAAAATAGAAGAAATTAAACTTTGTTTATTGACTAAATATACATTTTAGTTTATGAAACTTGGGACTGACACTTGAAACACATTAAACAGAATTGAGCTGTTTATATACTTTAGTTCATTTGAAAACTTTTGAATAATTTTTTTTTATATAGTTTGGAAGGTTATTTTGCATTATCTGTGTTTTATGGTTTTTCATGCATACCCATGCACCAATTAACATGGATAATCAGAGTTTGCTCTGTGTATGTATGTGTATATGTATATATATATATATATATATATATATATAAAATATGGAATTCTGTGAGTGTGTGTGCATTAGTAAGAAAAATACGATAACAAAATTTGCTTCTAATCATTTTAAAAAACAGGTTTGTGGATTGTTTTCAAGTAATTTTCCAGGCCAGTTTCGATCTCCAGTTTACCCCTATCACCAAGTGTTTAAGTAATAAAGAAAACCAATGTCATAAAATAATGTTTTTAAAAGAATTTTTTAAAAATAGTTTTATTAATGAAGCCTGAAAAGTTATGAAATTCTGTCTGTCCTTCATGCATTACCACACCACTGATTGCCTTGAAACTTTGGGAAGTTTTTTAATACACTCCCGCAAGGTTTCTGGCATAGTACATTTATCCTATGATAGATGGCACGTGTGTATACGAGCATTTACTGTGTGTTCGATCGATTTCAAATTGTGAAGACCATTTCCCCCCTCCAAAAAATATCTCTATATATGCATTTGTTATTTACGATATTTGTAATAATTTTTGTTTAATCACTTTATTTCAACTTTTTTTTGCTAATTATGTATTCGCTCGAACTTTGGTAAAACCTTAACTGTATCCCGAACAACAACCGAAGTTGTAGGAGGAAATTCGCCTATTTTACCGATCTAGGGATCCCCCTTTTCCAAATTTTAATATCAACTCAAAATAATTTAAAAAGACAAATTACAATAAAATGGTTTATTATCCAACTATCAGAAATTTCACAACATGCCAAGGAAGATAGGAAGGAGCAATTAAATAATCAAAATTATAAATGATTAAAAAATATATATAAAAATGGGGAATATCGCACTTCTAACAATCTCTGTGAGTATGTAGGCTAAATTTAAAGAATCCATGCTTCTCACATGTACAACTGTATGTGGCCAGCTCATGCGTCGGAAAACCTTCTGATTTATTTGTGTACGCACCAGACAAAAAAACAAAAAATATCGTGTATCCACAAGCACTCCAATAAATAAATAGAATTGAAATGACACTTTGAAATGTTTTCCCGATGAAAATGAATAATAATAATAAGTTTCAATAAAAATGATAAAATGTAAATTGAATTTTATCATAATGAGTTTGCTTGAATTTTGTTTCTTCTGAGATCACAGCAATGCACTATGGGTAAGCTAGTAGGCAATAAACAATATATAACATTTTTGAGTTTAGTTCAATAAAATCTTGTTTTTTCTCAAAAAATCTCTTATATTGTATTATGTGTATTAAAAAGGAATACATCATTAGAAAATTCAAAATAGATGACAGCATACATATATAGTACAGGATAAATTCACACAAAAATACCCATATTTCACAGTTAGAGCAGTGATTGTTGATTAGAAAAGAACAGTTATGTACAATAATCTTATTCCACAAATAATAGTGAACTTGCAGCCAAAGTTTTCAATGCAAAAATGTGAATGTCAGTCATTCAGCACTGCCATCTTGTAAGCCTAGAAGTTTGACAATGGCACTTGGAACATCAGTGGAATCATGCTTGACATTCCAAACACCATTGTCAAACTTCTAGGCTAACAGGAAGACGGTGCTGAACGTCCAATGTTTACATTTTTGCATTGAAAACCTCGGTCGCAACCTTGCTAATACTTGGAACATAACAAACACCAAGTTGCACAACAGATACATCAACACACAAATACTAGAACACTAGATAATACAGAAGATCAGACACTCATTGATAGTACCTCAACAGTAATCACTCATGAAAACATACACAGCATAATAAGCACCAATGAAAATGTATACTCAACAGTTACAACTAGTAAGACAACAGATAATAACATCAGATAACAGTTAGACAGGCTGATACAATACACTAAAAACTACATAACCTTGTTCATTATGTTTGGTATTATGAAAATATTCAGGAAAATAAAAGCAGACACATAATGAACTATATTGACATCCTCAAACAAAACCTAAACAACTATGAAAGAAAGACTGAAATGATACACAACGAAATAAATTATTCACAAATAATAAGACACTTTTTACACACTGCTATATACCTAACCCAACAGATAATCCTTGTACAATAGCATACCAACAGAAAAGCAACTCACACTGTTGGTCTGCTCTTTGATCCAATCCAGTCATACACAAAAATGAAGAAAACAGGATCAAAGAGGAAGGAAGAAACATGATGCTCCTATCATACCTTGTATTGAAATTAGCATATACATTATCCAACATGTAGTACAAAGAACACATGCTGTTTGAATTTTAAAGTAATTTTTTAGAATGTTGATGCAGTACTACTATTAAGAAACTAAAGGAACAATTTATGCATTGTGTATAAGAGAAGTACTAAAAAAGCTTGGTCTGGAAAATATTTGATATTAAATTGTAGGATTTTAAGTGTTAAATTAAATTTAAAGTATTATTGTAGATATTAAAACTTGCAGATATCAATGAAGGATGAGTCAAACACAAAACATGTCTGTGCAATTTTTAATCTTTATTTAATGTGTATTTGTAACCTTTAATTGAATTATTTAGTGTCAACTTGAATAACGGTTTCTTCTTTCCCATTTTTAGGCTGGAATTAGAACAGTTCATTATCATTGCATTAGAGAAGTTTACTATTTCAGACCACCTATATTTAAAAAAAGCCAAATACAAAAAGCAGCAGCATTTTCTACAGCAAAGTTCAATAGCATAAACAATACACAGCACAAAATAGATATAACATCAAATACAATACATTAAATATCTCAGAATATCACAGCACAGTATTTCATCTCATTCATGGATGACATAAAACATTATGCATACACAAATACAACTAAATACAATATATACATGAACAGTAGATAAACAAGATAACACCTTTTTCTGTAGCTATGTCTTGGTTTAACAAAGCATCAGGACTGATATTAAACAAGTATCATATCTTTTGCTAAAACAATAATTCAGTCAAACCTCTGATAATGACCATATCTGAACTGTAACTGTTTTTTTCAAGATCTTTTCTTTGAATCAAAAATGCATACAAAATGATCTCCAAACAATGACTCTGGCCACTAAAAGCCAATTTTTTAGTCTCTTAACAATGGCTAATGCCCTCAACATAGCATGAAGAAAACAATATTACACTGTCAAAATTATTAATCATCAAGAAGATGTCTTGTTTAGCTGCTAACTTTCCATAATCTGTTTACAGCTAAGTTTAATAAACTTAACCATAAACATTAAAAAATTTTTTCTTAAAACTAATCATTTTCAGGACTATTTTTTTGCATTTTATAGACAGTTGTAAAAAATTTTGTCATGAAAACTTTTCTGAATATGCAGAAAACTTCTAAAAACACAGTATCATATATTTCTAAAAACACAGTATCATATAAAAATTGACCTTATTATTGTAGTTTATGATTTATATTAAAATATGTAAAGAAGGAACCAGTGTCTTCTGTCAGTGGGGACATTTTTAAAAATGTCTTCAAATTCATTTTAACTATGTTTGTTTTTAAAAATTTGAAGAAATTTTTAAATTGCCCCCACTGACAAAGGACACTGGTTTCTTCTTTACATATTTTAATATAATTTGTAACTTACAATAAAGGGTATACACCTTTTTATTGTAAGTATAAAAGGTATTTTTATAACTGTTTTTAGAAGTTCTCTGCATATTTGAGAAGGATTTTTGTACAATGGTTAGAAGTAGTTTTCCTTCAATATATATGATCTGTGCAATTTTCAGCTCATCTTCCAATCATGGCCACCTCTAAACAACTGCAATTTTTTATTTTCATCAGTGGCTATTGTTTAGATGTTTTAATGCTGTAAATAATAATTAATAGATCATTTTATTTTACAGAATTTGTTGGACTTGTCAATCAGGCAATGACTTGCTATTTGAATAGTTTACTTCAGACACTTTATATGACACCTGAATTTAGAAATGCTTTATATAGGTAAATTTAATATTAAAAATTTTATTTTATAATAATAATTTTTTTAGAAACTAAACCATAAATATAGTAAACAAATAACTTATATTTAGAATATGAAATATTTTAATTTGTTGAATTAATTATATTTTAAAGAGATGTCTGTTTTCATATTCAACTTTTTATATGGATATTTCTCAGAATATTAAAGTTGCTTATGTGCAAAAATAATACTTTTTTTCTTTTTCTGTTATTTTAGGTGGGAATTTGATGGTACTGAAGAAGAAGGTGTTAAAAGTATTCCTTTTCAGTTGCAGAAATTATTCATGCAATTACAAGTAAATATTAAAATGTTTTGGTTACAATAAATTTATTTATTATTTAGAAATTATTTACAGTTCTTTGGATTTTGGAAAAATTTAGAAAATTGATGATTTTAAAATAAAAACTTATTTTATGATTCCTAATCTTGGTAACTATCTTAGAATAAAAATACATTAGATCAATGTTATTGTGAGATTAGCTAGGAGTACTTCTACTGAATACCACTTAATCAGCACAGATCGAGATCTATCATCCAAGTCAGTGGATGGACTAAAAAGTGTTTAATGAAGGATATAGACGGTGAAGTCTAGATCCACGTCAGGATGTTGACACCAGACAGTCAATTTTGCAGACTATCACGTGATTACTTCTAATTAATTTCATGGAGAGGTAGTGTTATAATTATGAAAAAAGGAATCTTTTGATTCAGTCAACAACGAGGCCATTTTTAAATGAAATAACAAAGAATATTTAATAAACAAAAATAAAAACAAATTAGAGATTACAATTATAAAATCTATCTATTTCGCAGAGAGAGATTACACTTCATTTTAGAATCATATTACTTCACTGACTTTATATTTTGATGTCTTCTCTTTATATTGGATCAATGATAATATTCTTTAACAGGTCCTTTCTTTCTTGTCCTTTGAAATTTGAAGGAGGCAGTTTCTCAAATAGTTCAATCTACAAGTTTGGGTGTTGGCTGTAGGGAGATGGTATGGAATACATCTTTCCTCTCATAGAAGTCGTGGTGTACTCCTGCTATGGGTGTGGTCCTTGGAGACTTGATGGGAATATGTCTTTCTACATCGAGAAGTTCTGGAGAACTCCCAAAAAAAAACAAAAAAACCCCCCTTTTTGAGGTTTTCCTCCAATGGTAACATCATATTTTTCCCACGTGAGCAGGATGAGTGGGGATTTACAGAGGGGTGACTCTTCGTTAGGTGACTCAAATCTTGGAAGATAAGGGAAAAACGAAAGGATGTGGAACTTCCATTGAAAAGGAAGTGAGTTTTACCAGTTTCCTTCATTTTTTAAATTAAACCTTTCCATCAAAATCAGAAATATTATTTCTAAAAGTTATTGATTTGATTTAAACTTTCAATTAATTAAAGGGGGATATCCAAGATCTCACATTATCATCAACCCTATTAGTTTTGACTTGCTAATGCATTGACTTGCATTATAACATTATTATTCACTGTTCTATCAATTGTGGTTTTGGTTACTTGCAGTTTGAAAATATTTTAAAAAATAATCCAAAAATTATAATTAGCTCTTAGCTAACTCTATAGAAATTAGTTAAGAAGGTCTTAGAATGTAATTGTGAGCCTTTTGTGGAGAGAAATTACACTACTCCAGCCATACATAGATTGAAACACTGTTTATTTGGGAAACATTAGGTATCCTAACTAATGATGTGTAACAAGTAGTGCGTCTAGAGAGAGCCAACGGTAAGGAATAAAAATGTGTTTTAGTATGAAATTTTTACAGTCTTTCTAATTTTCTCTTAGTGTGTCATGTGGTAGCTTTATTTATATAAAAAAACAAAAAAAAAAAAAACAAGCAACCATAACTGTTGAATATTCTTTTTTCAAATGATTTAGCACTTTAAATTTGTGTTTTGGGCTATGCATTTCTTTGTTTAGAAAATATTGTTGGAATGTTACTTTAAAAAATGTTATTTGTAAGGATAAAAGAAAGATGAAGACCTCAAAATACAATTTTGACATTTCAGAATGCATACCAATACATAAAACACTATCCATGTAAGTGCTTATGCTAATGAACAACAAAATATATGATAATATTTACTAGTTGTTTAAACATCAACAACACAGTTTGCAAGAAAACACAAGATAAAAACATTAAAAATTATTTGTTTCTCTATTCATTGTTTCATTTTGATAATCCTTATGTGAATAAATAAATTTTAGCTTTGTGGATATAAAAAAAATTGTTGTATATAATGAAATCATAAATATTTTAATTGTGATGTGAGAGTAAAAAATGTGCGAATATTGAACTTCTATTGTATTAGGTAAAAATTACTCTAAATGGTTTAAATTTATGATAAAAAGATGTTCATATATATTTTATTATTTAAGAAATAATTGAGCATAAAGATTATGCTGTATTAATACTTTGTTATATTTTTCTATTGATACTACTAGACTTTTATATGAAAAATGTTTTGTTATTCAGTTAACTTTATATAAATAGTATTCTGGAACAGTTGTCTCATAAAAAATCAATGAATTATTACTATTATATACATGAATATCTGTTCTGTTCTCATTTTGTTATAAACAATGGAACATTCTGAGTGATTTTATAAACTGATTTACTTTAAAATGTCAATGTTATATTTTAATAAATATTCATATAAGCATACATGAAAACTACTTTCTAGTATTTACATTTTTTTTTTAATTACAGACTAGTAAGAAACCTGCAGTTGGTACAACAGAACTCACAACAAGTTTTGGCTGGGACAGTAGTGAAGGTTAGTTCATTTATGTGAAAAAAGTACAGGTATACCTTGAGTTACGTCGTCCTTGATTATACATCGTTTGTCAAAAAAGTATATGGAAAAATAAAAATCAAGTTTAAGTCATTTTGTTCAACTTTACGTCCATCCGCCACAAATATTGAAGTCATAATATCACTAGAAAAACGTTTAAAGCACATAAAATCATATTAACACTTTGCTTCCATTATCTTGTTTACGTTTATCTTGTATTCCCTCCTAAAGCAATATAGGTCAGTTAGGCAATGACAATTAACTTATACTTCAAACAATCATCATACTCTGTAGTTAATGTTACACCACAATATCCATGTACTGTATATATCACATATAATAGAAACATGACATCACAAGCAGGAACTTTTTGAATGAACCTTATACTAATGAACTGTCAATTGGAAATTTAGCTTCTTTCCCTTTGTACATCATTTCATATACTAAACATTCTAAAAAATATTTTTCTCTTTAAGTTTTTTAGGTAATTTTCATTTTTAAGTAATATTTTATCTTGTTTATATATTTTCTTGCTGAAATAATATTTCATTCTGTTTCTCATTTCAACATATGTTAAAATTTTTAATCTTAAAAACAAAATTAATATAAATAACGAATTTTATGATATACTATTTTACAGCTTGGCAACAACATGATGTTCAGGAATTATGTAGAGTTATGTTTGATGCATTAGAACAAAAGTTTAAAGATACAGAACAAGCTGATCTTATCAGTCGCTACTATGAAGGAAAACTTAAAGATTATGTCAAATGTTTAGAGGTTTGTTTAAAATTTGTTAATTTTTTATTTACCAATATAGGTTATATTTA